AAAGCAGTCAACCTTTTCATGTCTTCAATTCGTATTGGCCATGTTTCAGAGCCATAGAGAAGGACGGAGCGAACTGCTGAACAGTACACACGTCCCTTGGTTGATAACCGGATGTCACGCCTACGCCAGAGATGGTGTAAGTCAGCGAAAGCAGCTCGAGCTTTTTGGATCCGTGCTGAGATTTCATCGCCAATCAGTCCGTTGGTGTTGGCTGATACAACCTCTCAGGTAGGTGAAGTGGTCAACATGTTCTATCACTTCACTCCCTATCACTAAGCTAGGAGTTGAAGTAGTCCAGTCCTGTAGCAGCATCTTACATTTGTAGGGGCGAATCGCATGCCAAACATACGAAGATTGCTTCTCAAGGTTTTCAGAAGACTCTGCTGGATTTTGTCAGCATCCTCCCCTAACAGGACTATGTCATCTGCATATTCTAAGTCCATAAGACTATTTCCTGGTAACAAGTCGATTCCTAAGTCGTTACGTTCAGTTAAGGATACTTCCACACACACACACACACACACACACACACAAACACACAATAAAATTGGTAAATAGTGTGAGATGTGACATAATCACTTGTGCACTTTTGAGGTTTGCAGTGGAGCATAGTTTCAGCGTTTTCGACAGTTACAAGCTGGGCTGCATAATTGGTTCTACGGATGATCGAATTCCACCTTTGTCTCAAAATCCTACTGTTTATTTGCCCGTTATATGGTAATTTGATGAAAACCTTTTTCTTAGGGGCCGTATGAATTGTAGGTTTAAAGACTAATTGACTTCTACACCTGTTTAAATTTTTTAAAGGATATCCCCGTTTTCAACAAGAGTATCCATCAATATTTCACTTTCTGTTGTGTACTGCTGCTGAGTGAGTTATTAGAGTTTTCCCCGTCGCCAATTATTGTTATGTACTCGTCGAGTAGTTAATAGTCCTGACGCGGAAAGAGGGAAATCAGAAGACCACCAGGTTTACGATTATACTTGTATTTTCCAGACAAGGAAAGTAAATGTCACACAAGTGTGTGTAAGTGAAATGGTACGTAATGTACGAAACGTGGGAACAAGAATGATAAAGCAAGAGTATATATGAAAATGGCTAATACACATGAACCAATAAGATAACGTCTTACCATGATTGGTTGTAATGTCATGTGATAATAAGGTCATACATTGTTTATTTAGTTAGTGGACAGACAAAAGCATAATGTCAGTTATAATGGAATATCGATCCATATACACATAGCAAAATACAACAGACTGTCAAAAAACTGTCATCATGTGGGTACATATCACTTTCTTTCTTCATAACATCAGCTGTGCAAATACGTTGAATCCTCCTAAATAGACACTTCACCAAGCCTCTCTTATACTGTAATGGACAGAAACTATGAAAATTAAAGTACTGCCCTGTCCAAGTGGGCTTTCTGTAGTTGGATCGTCTTATTGAACCATCATCTCTTCGATTATAGAAGGTATATCTAAAAATGCAAACTGGTTGCGTGACTTTCTTCCTCACATGTAAGACTTATGTGATTCTGTACAGAATTAAGTCTGTCTAAAAGACGACTCGCATCTTCATGATCACTTTGTTTAATTTAACTTTTTCATATATATATATATATATATATATATATCGACTTGACAAGTAAATGTATGAGGCATCAGATTGTTCAAAATGTATAGCGCAAATACATCACGTCAAATAGTTTTTCAGATAATCTGCGTCTTCTAATAACGCTCACTGTCCAAATTTATTTATTTATTTATTCCAGACAGTTCGCCTTACTTTTTTGCGAACTATGTTTGTTTGTTTATTATTATTTTCGTGATTCTTTCTTGCTTTTTTCCCCTCTGTTTGGTTTATTACTGAAAACTGATTGATCCTGTGTGCCTTACTGGAAAAATAATGGTTATATATATGGGAAATGTGTGTGTGTGTAACTGTATGGCGTTGGAAAATTAAAGAAACCTGTTTTTTTTCCCTCGCCTTGGGATTATTTCCACTGATAAATAAATAAATCGCTGTTGTTTGGATTATAATGACTGCAAGAGTAAACAATTTTGCTGTCGATGTTGCTTATGTCACGATGAAGTGTGTGTATGTATATATGTATGCGTGTGTGTATGTGTGTACGCGATATGATGTGTTGTCCACATATATATAGGATTCATTTCTGTTACATCTTTGATTGAATGATTGGTATTTTTCCAAGACGAAATTCTATAGTTATTCAAGTGTTGGTTTGTAGAAATTTGATTGGTTACAGGATTTCATCATGAACTGACATTGGTTGGAGAACCATTGGAAAACCTAGGAGGGAATACTGGACAGCTGTCTCGTTCTAGTTTGGCAAAAGTTAGAATTCATGGACCGTCCATTGGATCGGGTCCCAGTGGCTTAAAGGTTTACAGTAGTACGCATGCACCACCATGGTTCGAACTCGGGACCTTCTGGTTACAAGGCGCGCTAGCTCGTAGACAATTAATCCAACGGCACTTGGATCCAATGGCCAGTGTGTGTATTCCAAATTCTGCTGATTCACGACATAGAGCGACCGCTAGCCAATGTCATTGCTGGCGAGTATTTTTCCTCACACCTGACCTGCTATACCCTACTGGTCATGACTTCCCACTGGAACCCTAGGTAACTACCTATCTGAGTAGAGCCAGTCACTAGTGAGCCATCTCATTTATGTTGAAATATTGGTTTGTAGGGATTCGATTGGTTGGTTACAGGATTTCATCATGGGCTGACATTGGTTAGGGAACCATTGGAAAATCTGGAAGGGAGTACTGGACTGCTGTTTCGTCAGCCTAGTTTGGGACTCTTCATCGGTACACACCCACCGGGATTGGTACTCATCTTTCCGATGTACCTGCTAGAGCCAGTCATCATCCACCAAAATTACTTTCCGTTTAAGTCCTCAGATATCGTGAAAGCATTGAGTTCAATACACAAGGGATAATGTTAAAACTGTTTATATATATATATATATATATATATATATATATATATATAGTGTTCTTCCAGGTGACTTTCATTCAGTTGTCTATCTAGACAATGTCTTCAGTTTTTCTACTTAACCCCACCATTGAGCTCTTTGGAGGATACAGCTTACACTAATAATATCATTCATTTGATAGGGGTTAGCTACACAGAGATCTCTTTCATCATCATCATCATCATGATCTCTAAATATCGTCGAAACTGCTATGGAATCCTTATCACTACTCTGGTTTTCAATAGATATTCAGATGAAAATGTCTGATACTTTCAGAAAAAAAAACAGGAACAATAGGAGATTGTTTTGTTACTCATGCCATTATGCATAGTGTATAGTGACCGTGTATGCCGACGTCTGTGTGTGTGTGTGTCATGTTAGATGTTGTTTATGATATGGCAGAGTGATACGTGAAGTCAATCGATGAGGTTACGAAGCTACATCGATTTGAAGATGCTAAGACACATGTTGAATATGCCAAGTCACTGCCTTCCTGGATGGAGCAATGTCATCTATCCTAGGAAGAGGTTGGAAATGATTCTAGGGTGGGTGGGGTGGGGTGGGGTGGGGGATAGTGAAATCAAAACATGACTATCAATTTACAAAGTTTTTGACATCTGGTTTCGACTACCTGGTCGCCTTCAAGCGGCTGAAGGAAGACAAGTGGGTTCGAACTGGTTTCGGCGTCCCAGTGAGGGGCAGATTTATCCACTCTGTATAGTCTCTCAGATGTATTAAATCTTGATGTTTTTTTTCCAATGATACTGTTCTTTCTCTTGTGTGTACACGTCTGCCCATTATAGTTCTTTTGAAGCTCTTTTTTCTACATTTACGTTTTACATGGTGTGTGTGTGTGTGACAACTTGAACTTGTGCATTTGTGTGAGAAAGTCTTCAGTTGGAACTCAGTAGTCGGTCAGTCAGTCAAGAAACTGTAGAAACATGGTAAACTGTCGATTCTCTTTATTATTGTATTTTTTCCTCTTGCGTTCCGAGTGGAACATACACGGCTTCAACAACACATCTCTGCTTTGTTCGATTTGGTTCTGTCCTCTTCAGGTGGCCAACCACACGGTTGCCCATAATCTTTCATCTCCTTTTCCCCGTCTCCACATGATCTCCTCCATGTCACCCGCGCATCAACGAGACCCACTCGTCGCCTTCCCATTTAGATTCCATTCAAGCTATGGTCTGCATTGCGCACGTGATGTCATTCGACAGCCTCTTCCACGTATGCCAGATCTATGTCCATTTTCTTCTGCATATTTGTTGAGGAATAGGTTATCAGTTACTAATTCTTTTTGTCTGTCCGGCCAGCCATTTAACCTTCAGTATGGAGCCAGCCGGCGAAGACACCTGTTGATAAAAGTCTGTAACTTGTTGGAAGTGGCTGACTGACTGACTTAACCTTTGTGTTGAATAGAATCCGAACGAATCTTGTTGTTGTTGTTGTTGTTTATGCTGAGAAGGAGTGCAGAAGATTTTCAAACTGGTTTTAGGTTGGTTGATAAAGGTGTATGTTGCCTTTCAGATCCCCACTGACTGGTCAGCTGGTTTCGACATCTTCATCCACACCGTCTGCTTGTGGTTGAAGCCGTGCTTTCTAACCAGATAATTAAGGGCGGTGACCTCTGTCAAATCTTTCCTGTTGATGATGATTGGTGCTAGTTGTTGTTGTTGTTGTTGTTGCTGTTGGTTGGTTGTCTTCACCATCTCCGTCTTCTCTATGTTGTCCCGAAGGTCGATTATCTTTAAATTGTTGTAGTGGTGGTTGGGTTGCTAGTCTCTCACACCGAACTTTCTGTCTTCAACAACGGGTCTACTACCTACCAACTAGGCGAGGTGTAAGCCTTAAGGGTTTGTCGACCGGTAGGAATCAAACCTGGACCATGTGGTTTAGTTGCTTTTATATTTAGGTTGTATTCATATTTCACGCATTAGTTTTGGGTATATATTCTAATTGTATTGACAGTGTACTTCTCTTCTCTTTCTCTAGGATATGATGTGTGGACAGAATACAGGATCCATGCCTATTGAACAATCCAACAACAATATGGATATGATGACAATGGTCAATTCTCGTCATTCTGGAACACCAAAAAGTGGTGGTGAATCTTTTCCTGGTGGTGGTCCTATCAGTCCTACGGGTGGAGCTCCTCTTGGAAGTCGTAGCGGAAATAACTATGGTCCAGGTGGTGCTGGGGGTGGTGGTGTTGGCGGAGGCGGTAATTATGGAATCAGTGGCAATATGAGCAATAAACCTACAAATCATGCCTATTTTAATTCCCCTGATACAATGATGATGATGATGGGACCGAATTCTGATTCTATGGGAATGAGATCAGCAGCAGGATTAGGAGGAGGAGCAGGAGCAGTGTCAGTAGGACCAAATACACCGTGTACTCAACATCTCACTTCTGCTAGTCTAGCTAGTCTAGCGCGGCTATCTCAAATGTCTGGTCCTGAAGGTCCATATATTCCTTCATCTTCATCGTCGTTGTATACTTCAACTATTGGAAGTGGTGGTGGTGGTGGTCCCCCATTGCATTTAAATCGTACTGGATCATTTCATAATAATAATACAGATGGAAATTCTGTTGTCCTGCCGCCGCAAGGCACAACACATCAACATTCTCATCCCCATCATCATCAAGTTATGCCACAAAATACACGTCAGCATAATAATAATAATAATTCACTTACAAATCCTGGACATTGTGTTGTTACAAAATCGCATTTATGCAATCAGCCATCATCATTACCCTCTAACAATATGACTGTGAATAATTTTAATTTACCCCACACGTTATCGAATCAAGCACTTCCAGTTCACTCAAAATTTAATGGTCAAGGTTATCCTCCGCATATGAATCATCCACAACTTCAGCCAACATTACAACACCAACAACAGCAACAACAACAAGCGCTAACTGGTTCTTCTCTTCCATCTCCAGTACCAAATATGCCAGTTCCACCACCTCAACCACCGCATCAACAGCCTCCATCGATTCAAGTAAGTCACTTATTATTATTAAGCCATCTGTGGCTTACTTTTTGGTTAATTCCCTTACCTTCTTCCCAGTGGAACATAGAACAGCTTGAAGCTCTGGAGGCTAGAAGTTTCGGTATCATCAGTGGTGTTTCTTGTATTTTTACGGGATGGGGTTGCTAGCACCCTCATGCATGCATGGCCAACCTTCCCTCTTAACCAGTCTTATCACTGGCTTGTCGAGGTAAAGGAGTGCGTCGGCGCGGTAGGGGGGTGGAGATGAGATCGAAACCCGAACAACATGTGAAGGGCTTGGTTGGCGAGCATTCTACCGCTGTGCGTCAGTGGCGCATAGTGACCAAACAGGTGGTTAATCATTATATGACGATGGATCTTTTGCGGATTCTGGAGCAGTCCATGTAAACCATAGGTGATGGTTAATTATTATTATTGTTCCCTTGGGTTCCTAGTGGAACATAGGGCTTCAACTGCCCGTCTCCCTCCACTTGCCACTTCTGTCTCCTTCCCTACCTTTCACCTGCATCCATGTTAGCTAGTCCATACTGTTTCAACTCCTCTTCACACCATCTCCTCCAAGTCACTCTTGCACTGACGACCCACTCGCCACTTGCTTCCCTTTCGGCTTGGTTCCACTCGAGAAATCACCTGACGCGCGCGCGATGTCACCCAGTGGCGGCCTCCTCAGCGAGCGAGTGTCCAATCCATCCATCTCCACTTTCTCCTGCCTGAATATTTGTTAGTTGGCGATTGGTTTGTTCTTGTTTTGTTTGTTCACAGCCATAGTTTCTTGTTGGTGATTCTCTCCGGTACGGCCATCTGATTTTCAGTAAAGAGCCAGCGAAGACAGTTGTTGATAAAGATCTGGTCTGCAACAGGCTGTTGGAAATATTCTTTGTGACCCGCTCGCCAAGTTTCTGTCTGATCCGTATAGAAGAACTGAACTGACTTGACGTTGTTTGTTTTGAAGATCCGAGCGAATTTTGTTGTTTATTCTGGCTGAGTGACGAAGATTTCCAGATTGTTTCAGTCAGGTTGATGATGTTGATGTGTTTCTCGCTCACCTTCCCGATTCTCGCTCGATTTGACATCCTCGTCCGTTCCTCCTTCTGTAGTTGAGATTATGCTCCCTAGATAAGTGAAGTGTATGAAGTAACCTCTTTCAAATTCCTTCCCATTGATGGTGATTGGCGCTGGATGTTGTTGTTGGTTGGTTGGTTATTTTCATAACCTCTGTCTTGTCTATGTTCACCTGGAGTCCTGTCTTCGCCAGCTGCTTCTTCGACCAGTTTGTCGGTCGGTTTTCGCTTGTAAGTCTTCGATTTTGTGTGTGTGTGTGTGTGTGTGTGACATCAAACATAAGTCATCGCCGCGCGGAATCCAAGTCCTCTAGGTTCTTCACGTCGGTCGGTCGGTCCAGGATTATCCCTGTCTTCTGATTTTCCACTCACTGTCTGACGCATAATCCAGTCAGTCCACCATAATTAGGAATATCATTCCTTTGGTGATAATAAGCAAGCACCCTTGTTTGACTCCTGTGTTTTTACTGCAAACGTTTCGCTGAATTTTCCGTTTGATGGTTAATTACTATCAATCGATCAATCAATCAATCAATCCACAGATAGTGTAGTGTGATGGATTCATATAATCACTGAACAATTTGTAAAGTGTATTTTTATCAATTATTAGAGGTTGCGCATACCATAATCCTTGAGTAAATAATATAACTTAACGGTAGTAGATATTTTTAACTTAGAACTGAAGGTTTCCATTCTTCTTCTTCGTCATTCTGTGTGTGTGTGTGTATGTGTATTAATTTCTCTGTTCATGAGAAAAATTTTTACAAAAAAAGCCTCTAGAGAATGAATGAGAAGTTATATTTGTCTGTCATTGTTGTAATCAACTACTCCGTCTCTCTCTCTCTCTCTTGGTGTGTTAACCTTTTCATATTAAAAAAACAAAACAAACTTAAACGTTAAATTATGCATAACTTCAGATAATAACAATGATATATACCATATATAGATACCATCAGGAGTTTGTATCCAGTACTGACTGACTGACGGAGTTCAACGTAGAACTAAGTTTGAAGAGATGTACAGCAGTGCGGGTTGCCACACTCACTCCATGTTATATGGAAGAACAATAGGGTTTTACTGGATATGATGATTGGCAAATTACAAATAGTGAGTGAATGCATCTGCGCCAGTCATTGACAACGACCACTTTAGTAGCCATATCACAACCAATTGTCTCCAGCCTTCATTGGTTCTTACCATCCCGATGGCCCCAACTAGTCAGTCAGTCAGCCAGTCTACACACCTCTCTACGTGACTGGTTGGTTGGCTGGCTTCAAATAACTGTTGTGGATTTCATTGACTGATGAAGTCATGTTTTAGTTTGACCGCTATCACCACTACCACTGTGGTGAGAGCAGGCCGTGAGAAAATATGGACAAGGCAGATTTAACAAGCAATCACAGCAGACTTAACATGGCAAAATATGATTCGCAGATAGAGAACTCTATTTTACGAGGAATCCCGAAACAACCAATCAGAAACAACCAATCAGAAGACTGAGCTTGTCTACTTGACTAGGCTATAATAATGTACAGGAAATATGTATAAATACGTGTTGATTTTCGTAATAAAACGATCTGTTGCCTGGCCCTTGCCTTCTGTTGTTACACCACTACCTCTTCTTCAACCTGGTCCGATGTCAGTCAACTAACACTGCGCATTGAGAAAGATGATGGTTAGGATTGCATGAGTAACACTTGTCCTAATCATCTTAATCGGTGTACTTACTTCACAACCTCGTTGATTGATTTCTCATCTTCCTTACCCAACTCTTGATGGAAGGCTAACTTCAATATTTCTGACTTACTTATATCACTTAACACGGGAGATAGAGCGCAGATACCTATCCTCAAAGACAGCTAGTTACCCAGCTTTTTCATATCCTCTACTTTCAAAGTCCATGTCTCACAACTAGCCATAAATGAGGATGGAGCGAACTGCGGGGCAGTCACACACCACACGCCCTTTGGTCGATAGCCAACCGGATATCAAATCTACGGCAATATATATATATAGTTTGTTGATTCGTCGTTAGTTCCTTCCTTTGTGCTTATCGTTTCTGACTACCGAATGTTTGGTTTCCAGCATCGAGTCAGTGATGGCATGAAGCTACATCGATGTACTAAGGGCACGTGTTGCGCCATGCTGAGCTGATGCAACCATCTTCTTTTTGGCGGGTAATATTAGCTGACATGGGCTCAGGTTGGAAAAGAGGCTTAGTGTTAGTTAAAGGAGAACTTGGTATACAGTCTATTAAGTCTTTGACAGTTAGTTGGTTTGTGACAGTCATTTAAGCGAGTGTAGACTGCTTGGCTGGTTAGGGTCCTCGAGATGCTAAGAACCAAATAGCTGGAGACAATCGATCGATGATTTCACTCATAATCGTGTTCTCAATGACCTAGATTCACTTTCTTTAATGTGATCTCGCATAATCCACTAAATCGTCATGTTTTTCCGAGTTACTATTCTTATTGTTACTCCCTTGGTTTCCGAGCAGAACATCTCTCCACTTTGTTATATTTTCTGGTGTCCACTTCAGAGAGGTCCAAAATTGCCCATAATCTCTCATCTCCTTCTCCTCCTCCTCCTCGCCACATAATCTCCTCCATGTTACCCCTGAACCAACGACTAAATTCTTCGTTTGCCATGTGAGTTCTACTCAGGCAACAGCTAGGCGTGTGCGACGTCACCTGACGGTCTCCTCAACATGTATCCAATCGATCTCCATTTTCTCCTACATATTTCTTGACCTATAGGTTCTCGATCGGTTTGTTCCTAGCCAGAGTTGATCGTCGCTTATTCTTTCTGACCGGCTGGCTGGCTAGCCATCTGATTTTTAGTAAGGAGCCAGCGAAGGTGGAAACTGCTGATAAAAGTCTGCAGTAGCCTGTTGGAAATGCTTTTCGTAACACAGGTTTCTAACCCAAATATAGAAGAAGTGACTGACTAACTCTACATTTGTTTTGAAGATCTAAATCTTGTCCCTTATGCTGACTGAGTGTAGAAGATTTCCAAACTGGTTTCAGACCCCCCACTGGCTGGCTTTGACATCTTCATCCGGTACCGTCTACCTGTGGTTGAAACCGTGCTCCTCAGATAGGTGGAAGTGTAACCTCTGTCATTTGTCTCTCGTTGATGATGATTGGTGCTAGTTGTTGTTGTTGTATTGTTGTTGTTACGGTTTGTTGGTCGTCTTCATCACCTCCATCTTCTCTATGTTAACCTGCAGTCGTCCTGTCTTCGCTGCCAGCCAGCTTCTTCAGCCAGAGTTTGTTGATTTTCGCCTACCTGTTATTCTTCGAGTTTTTGTGATATTAGAGACATATATCATCTGCGAAATCCAGATCTTTTAGACTCTTCTCGTTGGTGGTGGTTCAACGTACATTCCTGTTTTCTCACTTCCTATTCACAGTCTGGCGCATAATCCAGTCCCCCCCCCTACAGTTAAGAATATCATCGTGGATGATAATAAAAACAGACAGCCTTGTCTTCCTCTTGTATTCCGTTGTAGATCACCTGATATATGTGGCATTGCCATATTGCATACATGGTCAGCTAGCTGTTGAATGAGGTGGTTGATAAAGACTTGGGGCACACTGTATATTTCTACTGATTACAGTTGTGTTATTCTTTTTGAATCTCTTCTCTCTACCTTTGGATGGCCTACTAAGTGTGAAGCGTGGCAACTTGAACTGTGCCGCTCTTCTGTACAAATATCCTGTGTGTTGAAACTTAATTTGTCAGTCAATGAGAGATGATACACCATGCTGACGTGTACCAATAGATACGAAACTATTGCTCAGACAAGGCTCTTATCAGGAAATATAATAAAACTTTCTTTGAAATACATATTTATATATCCCTGTCTTATGATGTTTATTTCTTTTATTACTCTCATAGGTGAACAATACATTTTTCAATGCTCAGCTGAATGTCCAACAAATGAATTATCAACATGTCGGTGCGCCTGGTTCAACAGGTCAAATGCAAATACATTTTGCCCAACAACAACAACCTCCACATGAACAACATATGCGATCAGTTCGTCAAACAGATAGTACAATTCGCATGACAAATCCATCACAACCACCATCCCAACAACAACAAGGACCACAAGCACCTCCTCAATCGAATGAATACAATTCAATGTCATCAAATAATCCTCAAATGTTGTATAATTCAGATCCTATGAATCATCGAATCGACTGTACTAAGTCTGAACTACCCTTACTTCCTCCTCCTGCGGCTCCTCCATCTAGTTCCTCAGTGATCACGTCATCCATGTGTACACCAATGGGTGGTGGTGCTAGTGGCGGTGGAGGATCCTCTGTTGCTGGCTATGGAAATGCTAGTATACAGATAACGCCTAGAACACCGCATACAATTCAATATCTGCCTACGGTTGCTCCTCAAACTGCTGGTAATCAAGGACCGCCTGGTGGTGGTGGTGTCGGTGGCGGTATGTCATCATCTGGCCCTAATCAAGCTCTTCCAAGACCACCACCTGGTGTTGGTGGGGGTGGATCACTACGTGGTAGTGGAGGAGTGCTGCCGGTGGTGGTTATCAGTATATTCCATCTGATCCTGAGAGTAGCTCGCATCATTCATCATTCCATCAGTCGAATCAATCCTATCCCAGTCAAAATATTTCTAGCCAACCTGGACAATTCTATCCACCGCCGCCACCTCAAAATCAACAACATTATCCATCAATGCCTCAGTCAGCAACAGCAGCAGCTGTTGGTCAACAGTCTTATGTATCTAACTTCCAAGCACAGAATAATAATAATAAAAATGCACAAGTATACCCTGGACGACCAGGGAATAATTCAACATTTGTTTGGAATGATTCTAGCTTTGATTCAATGACGTCATCGGCATCGTCGGCATTAGGCGGTTCTATGATCATGTCTTCAACTGGTGGTAGTGGTGTTGGTGATACCAGCTTGAATAATAGTTTCCCGCCATCATCTAATATGCAAAGTAAGTTCCGTTTAGATCCGATGATATTGGTTTGTTTGTTTTTTAACCTGTGATCAGAATTTTATATTTCCGTAGTTTATTTTTTTTTTAAATGAGACACTTTTTTCCTTCACGTTCCGTAGTGGAACATAGGGCAGCTTCAAGCTAGTGGCTTGAAGTTTCTGTAGCAGTGGTATTTAATTTTACAGGATGGGGTTGCTAGCCAGCCTCATGTCCGACCTTTCCTCTTTACCTGCGTTATTTCTGGTTTGGCGAGGTAAATGAGGAGTGCGTTGGTGGTCGGGGATCGAACCCCGGACCATGTGCATGGTCGGCGGGCGTCCTAACCGCTGTGCCACCGACGCACACTAGGATCTCTTTTATTCAGTAATGAGGGGGACACTCTTAACTTAATTATTATATTAGATGGTTGGAGGCGTTCGGCCACAAGAAACCTTGCTTGACCGAGGTTTCGTGCTAGTTGGCACTCCACCAGTCAGTCAGCAAGGCGTTTCTGCAACCACTTTGAAGGAACTCATATCCCTACTGAGATTCGAACCCGCTTCACCCAATGCAGCCTGCAGTCAGAGACGAAGTTACCACTGAGGCATTCGGACTCTTGTGTGATTGACCTCCTGTAGGACCGATCGTATTAGATATTTTTGATTGGACACTAGTGAGTAAATAGTGTATTACTGTGTGCGACATTGCAAACCTGACTGATAGAATTCAGTCTGCATCAACGACTAGGACTAGACACATCATGGTCCGGGGTTCGATCCCCTGCCGACGCACACACCTAATATCAATGGCTGGTGTGCAAAATTCGGGCTACTGATATCAAGCTGTAATAAAAATCAAAATAATTTACAAAAATTCCCGTCTGTTCTAGGTTTACTATCGTTGGCTAGGTAAGGTTTCTAGAAGTGTATGTCGGGCTTGGGAATTGGATCATACATATGTGTGGTTGTTAGTGGCTTCCGAGGAGGAGGGGGGGGAGCATTATGCCACTGAACAAACCGCCGACATACACTTTTCAAACAAGGATTAATGAATTGTCATCTGCTGAATAATTCATATGATTTTCGGTATAGTTGATAAGATTTCCCTTCGAAGAATTGTGAACACTTGATTGAGATCCTTGCAACAGTTGACTGACTGACTGACTGACCAAGTGATGAATGAGTTTCACAACATAGAAGTTTGCAAAATAAGTTGATACAGTTTAAGTCGCCACACTTGATACAAAGCATGATGAGGCACAGTCAGCCTCCGACACCTCCTAACTTTTCTGACTCAAACTAACAGCCAGATACCTCACATATTGATGCCAGATTTGGGTTTTATCACCGCCTGTATGTTTGTCTGTTTTCGACATAGAACGTTGCACCGATGTGCAACAGTTCAAGTCCCCACACTCCCTCCTTGTAGCACACAAAGTAAGAGAAGAAATTAGACGAAATGCATAATAGAGACAGTAAACATAGGTGTGAGACAATGGAATAGTATTAACGAAGGACGATATAGTTTCATTGAAAATCATAAGTCACAAGGAGTGGATGCATCTGCACCAAGCCAGTCATTGAGAACGATTTTGAGTCATGCCACCAATTGTTTCCAGGCTTCATTGGTTTTTACTGTCCCGAGGACCCCAACCAATCAGGAAGTCTACACCTCCTACGTGACTTAAACTATGTTGTAGATTTCATTGACTGGTGTCATGTTTTGGTTTGGCCGCAGCTAGCTATTTTCCAACCTGACCCTATGTCAGCTAACACTGCCCACTGTCGAAAAAGGCGATGACTAGGCATAGGTAACAAATGTCCTAACCATCTCAGTCGATGTAGTTTCACAGCCTGGTCGATTGATTTACCCTACCTACCTAGCACGCACTCGATGCCTAACCTCAATATAGCTCACTTTATTATCGCACAGTAAGACGATATCGGTGAACATAGACAAGACGGAGGTTATGAAAATAACCAGCCAACAACAACAACATCCAGCGCCAATCACCATCAATGGAAGGGATTTGAAAGAGGTTACTTCATACACTTCACTTATCTAGGGAGCATAATCTCAACTACAGAAGGAGGAACGGACGAGGATGTCAAATCGAGCGAGAATCGGGAAGGTGAGCGAGAAACACATCAACATCATCAACCTGAAACAATCAATCTGGAAATCTTCGTCACTCAGCCAGAATAAACAACAAAATTCGCTCGGATCTTCAAAACAAACAACGTCAAGTCAGTTCAGTTCTTCTATACGGATCAGATAGAAACTTGGCGAGCGGGTCACAAAGAATATTTCCAACAGCCTGTTGCAGACCAGGTCTTTATCAACAACTGTCTTCGCTGGCTCTTTACTGAAGATCAGATGGCCGGACCGGAGAGAATCACCAACTATGGGAAACTATGGGAACAAACAAACAAAACAAGAACCAATCGCCAACCAACAAATATTCAGGCAGGAGAAAGTGGAGATGGATGGATTGGACACTCGCTCGTTGAGGAGGCCGCCACTGGGTGACATCGCGCGCGCGTCAGGCCATTTCTCGAGTGGAACCCGACAGAGTGGGAAGCGGCGAGTGGGAAGTCAGTTCAAGGGTGACATGGAGGAGATGGTATGAAGAGGAGTTGAAACAGTATGGACTAACATGGATGGATGCAGGTGGAAAGTACAGCAGAAGGAAGACAGAAATGGCAAGTGGAGGGAGACGGGCAGTTGAAGCCCTATGTTCCACTAGGAAACCAAGGGAACAATAATAATAATAAGACGATGTCGTCTTTCTACATTCTACTTAATTATTATTAGTAATTTTGTTGGTAAATACCTCTGAAATGATTCATCTCTTGTTTTTTTTTGTTTTTTAGATCAAGTTATGGATAATCGTATTGTTAGAAATATTCATCATCAACAAGGAGGATCATTTCGTGATCCTACTCAAATGAACAGTTATACATCTTGTAATAATGATATAACAACAATGCAATCATCTATTGATCCACTCAATGATAATCTCACCTCTTCCTCCTCCTCAAATCATCAAATGTTTACTACTTCTAGTCAACCAGATGGATCAATACAACAACAACAACAACAGCAGCAACGTGTTAACGCTGGACAGCAACACCAACCCCAACAACCATCATCTCAGTATCTCCGTCAACCAATGGGCAGTAGTGTTAATAGTAGTGGTGGTAAGCCATCAGCAGGCTCGAATCAATCATCACAGAATCAGATACACCATCAACAACAGACAAATTATCAAAATTATTATCATAGTCAACAGCACCAACACCATCAACAACAACAGCAACACCATCAAATGATGATGTCCTCCTCTTCAATGTGTGGTGATTATTCCGCTGGTAATGGTTGTGATTGGAGTTCAAGCAATCAAGTTCAATTTGTTATGTCAAATTCAGCGTCTAGTAGTTCAACTATTTCATCTTCGTCTAATACTTCTACAATGTATAATAATTGTAGTAGTAGTAATACTACTATTAATAATAATGGTTCAAATATGCATAATATTGTTGATAACAATAATAATAATATTCCTTCTAATCTTGTTGACCCGACTAATCTACGCTCCTCAGTATCGAATCCGACAATCAATAATATGGATAATAATTCTACACCTATGGGGGAGGACATCATCCGACGACAGGTAAACGTCTCTCTGTACCAAATGTCCCAATGAGCAGTAATGAATTAGATATGAAGAATCCTATGCATCATCCATCATCAGCCTTATCTCAATTCAATTCACCTCATCATTCATCGCATATATTCCCATCACAACAATCCCAACAACAGCAACAACAACAACAAATGATGACATCGTCTTCTACTGTTTCTGGTCCTGGTAATCGACTCATGATGAATTGGCATCATCATCCATCAGCAACAGGTGGAGGGAATCCAATGAATTTCCCTGCTACAATGTCCTCGGTATCGTCGACATCTTCACCTAACAATAATAATAATAATAATCCTAGAGAGATGTATTCTGGTCAAATGATAAATTCGAGTAAGCTATTTCCACCCATGATGGGATCAGATCTTACAGGAATGACAATGTTAGGCGGTGGTAGTATGTCTGATAACAATGCCAGTAATAATAATAATAATAGTAACAACAACAGCGGAAATCGTAATATGAATATGCTTCGACAGTCACAAGAGAATTGTTATGAAAATAATCAATTGGCCAACATTGCGTCATCCGCGTCCGCGTCCGCATCTGTATCCTCGTCATCATCAACAGCACAGGCGTATTCGTCATCAGTTGTTTAGTCATCAATAGATAGACAGACATACACACAGAGGGGAGGGGAAACAGAGGCAGGTCGATCTCCCTCATTCTGTCTGTCTGTCTGTCTACCATTCAGAACTTGTATGTAAATTTATTATTATTATTATTAGTAGTAGTAGTAGTATTCACATTTTAATGAGTGTGTTCTCCTTCACAAATTGTGCGGCTTCATCCTCCAATGGACACTAAACTTTAGTTATTCATCATGAATGCCATCATCGTTGCCATCGGCCATTGCCATCATCGGCATCATTGTCTCAATCATGATTGTACATATAATTTCTTCTCCTGATTCATTCATTCATTCATCGTCACCAGGTGGGCGGCGGGGTTCGGTGGGAGGGAAGAGTGAAAATCATAAAGAACCACCTAAATTATGATGGTAATTTAGTCACTTTTATTATTATTATCATCACTACTAGTAATTGTTATTTGACAACATCCCATTTCATTTCATTTCGTATAAATATATATATATATATATATAAATAGCATTATACATATACATATACACATACTTATGCATATATTCTGATAATTCACGCGAATTTTACAATCAATCTTCGCTTGTCTATCTCTCCCTCCCTCCCTCCGTCTCTCTCTCTCTCTCTGTATCTGTCGGTGTGTGCGCACGTATGTGAATGTGTATCCTATACAACTTCTCTTTGTTATGTAATCTATTTTGTCTTCGTCTCTCCATGTCTCCTGCCTCTTTTTGCCCTTCTACTTTTCCTCTCCACTTCCCCCTCCTTTTGCTATTGGTTGTTCTGTGTTGTAGGTGAACACTAAGACGAGAAGAAGAAGCAGCAGTAGTGCTGGGAGATGCATAACCTGATCACATTATTATAAGTAAGAAGATTAACAACAGTTCTGACCAGTTCTCTCTTTTCTCTTTCAGTCTTATTATTCCCATTTCTGTGCTACACTCTTTCAATATGACAATGATTCTTATTCTCTTATGATTATTGGGATATTTTTTTGAAAAAAAATTTTTTTTTTATTGTAATTCCCCCCGTATTTATTACTACTACTAACAGTTATGTGTACATTCTCTGTGTGTGTGCCAGTGTCGTTTTTCACGAATGTTCTCCTGTGTGCGTGTGTATGACTCTGGAGGAAAACTAAACACATCACTGTGTCTACTGTTTTATGCGCACGTAGTTAACATTTCTCTTCTCTTCTCTTCTCCCTACTCTCTCTCTCTCTTTCTCCACATTTTTCTATTGCATACTGACGTGTGTGTGTGTGTCTCTCCTCTGTGTGTATGTGTGTGTGTGTGCGTGCGTGTGCCTGTTATATTGTATATTTATTTCCCCCAAACAAACACCACCAATACACAGCATCATTTGTATATTTGTATTTCAATCAATTAGGGGAGATATATGTATGCATACTGAGAGGAGGCATGTCTAGCATCATGTTCCAACGGCGGGTAATTCACGATTCTTTCTTTCCTCTTTATTCCTCTGTCCTTCTGTCTTTGTGTCTCACTGTCCCTCTCTCTCTCTCTCTCACACACACATACATACATACACACAAACACGTCGATGAACATACAGAAACTCCAGTTTCTTTTTTGTGTTTCTATGATATATTTTGTTGTTTTTCATCCAACTAAATGTATGTGTATATTATGATTATTTTCTGTTTGGTGTTTCTCTTTTCCTCTAGCTTCCTTTTTCTATATTCTACTCTTTAAATAATTATTGATTTTATTGTTATTCCACCTTAATTCGTCTGTTGTCTCCTGGTGATGATGATGATGATGACGACGACGACAACGAAAGATTCTTCATCTCTGATCATGGAACTTTCTTTTCTTTAACCATTCTACTCTAATTTGGTTCGACCCCTCACAGCACTGAGAGACTTCCAAGTATTGATGGTTGGTCTGTCGGTCGGTCGGTCGGTGTGCGCCTGTCTGAGTTCCTTTTCTGGAGTTGGAGGGAGGGGAGGGGGTGCGATATCTGATGATGTGCGCATATTTTGTGTAAATAGAGTCGGTCATCTTTATCCTTATTAGGTTATTTTGTTATATAAGTAGTAATAGCAAGTAGCACAGCAGTAGTAGTAGTATATTCTAAATTTTAAAAAATGAAAGCAGATTTGATGACGAATAGACATTTTTTTGAGGGGGGGGGTTGTTTCCTCTGCTTCTTCTTCTCCTTCGATCAAATCATTCATACGTTGCCGTGCGTGCACACACACACACTCTCTCTCGGGCATCAAATAAGGCATACAGACACACGTATATACACGGCAGTTGTGTATGTGTGCCGTCTTTATTCTTCTTTTACTTCTTTATTTCCCATCTCATCTGCCTGAGTGTGTGTCTCATCGACATTAAGGCAAAAAGAGGAGGCCGTTCCCTGACGCCCCCCCTCCATCGCCGTCATTTCCCAGCTCTCTACACTCATGTTACACACCCAAGCATTCATTCACTCATGTGTATTGTTGTGGTTGTTGTTAATCTTAATCGATCTGTTTTTTTGTTTTTTCAATCTCTCTCTCTCTCTGTCTTCTCTCCTCTCATTGAGTCGAACATTATGAGATTATATAATACTTGTATTTATACACATATACATATTTATGCATATATATGCACACACACACACACACCACTTCCGCCAGCAGCAGCACACAGACAATGAGATCATGATTTTGTTGTTAAATAACAACTAATTTTAACTTGCCTCTTGAAAATAAAAATGAATGAAAAATGTATATCTGTTTGAGTTTTCTCTTTCTGGTTTTTTTCTTGTCATTTTGTTGTTGACTATGGTTGATGGAAGGTGGTGTGAGACTGTCACCTGCTTGTGCTGAATGATGACGAGAGGTTAGTTAGTTATTGCTGGGTAGACGCGGTCCTCTAGGGAAGACGTAGTAGTAGTCGTACATTACAAGTCCGTAAAACCACTTCTTCTAATAACATGCCCTTCTAATATGTGTACGTACATATGTATGTGTGTGTGTATGACCCACTTCGAGTTTAGTGTAAGCTAGCGATTATTCAGTGGGAGTACACGTTACGAGGTGCATCGTTTGATCCAGCAGTAGAATACACCCACCGACTCTATTCATACATATGCTCAGGAGTTCGATTCCCAGTTGACGCGCCCTCTACATACCTTACTTAGTGTGTTTACTCTAGCTGATAGATAGTAAGGATGGAAAAAGAGGGAGGGATGGATATAAAGAAGAAACTCGGGAAAACAACATTTAACCGTAGACAGCCGTCGTCACTTCCAACAGGATGGAGCTCACTGGCTACACGACTACACTCACTGGAACTCCAGGAAACTCCGTCCCCCTGTAGCAAGTCACTAGTGAGCATCAGATTAATTTTCAAGAGTTGATTTGTTTGTTTTTCTAGTTTGATCACCACGGATTGATATCTGAGTTAGAGAATCATTGAAAATCAGTGTGGAGTACTGGTCGGACAACCGTTTCATCCTAATTTGGGACTTATCAGCAGTACACACCCCACTGGGGTTCGAACCCCCCAGGACCTTCAGGTTACACGCAAGGAAGCTCATATACCATTCAACCACTCAGGGGACCCAATTCAATGACCAGCTCATGAATTCCGACTTCTAACAATTCGTGGTTGTAGTGCGTTCGAACCTGTGGGGTGTGTGTGTGTTACCGATGTTTCTCAAACTAGGATGAAACAGCTGTCCAGGCCTCCCTGGTTTTTATTAGTTCTCTAACTGATATCAATACGAGGTCAAACTTTTTAAAATCATGTGAATCTGTGTTAAACTTGAGTTTAACAAATCTCAAGGTTAGAAGTCTACCAACTTGAACTGTCATTAGAACTGTGTGTAAGGATTCGCTGGCAAAGTTAAACTTTCGACACCACTAACAACCAATCAGCAAACGACCTTGAACGAACCAATTACATTAAAGAGGCATATATGATGAATGGAAATGTATATTTATAGAAAAAAAGCACAAAATAGAGAATGAAAAAGTTACATGGGATATCTTTCTCGAACATGTGAGAGAAACATCTCCCAGTTTAGCATGGAACTGTCAATGCTTTTCCATCTGTTATCCTTTCGACGAATCCCTTTCGGAGGGAGGTGTCATACAAACTTATTACCCAAATATTGTTCGTTCGCTAGCGACCAAGGTTGTATTTCTTTTTTACCAGCACTGTCTCATCGACACGCACGATAACGTCTTCCCCACCTAGCAAACAAGTGATTTTCCCCATTTTCCATGATGCGATGTCTCTGCAATGCTGGTACCACTGAACTGTTGAGACATGGCTATTCTCCATCTCAGCAGCTGCTGCTCTCACAGCCTGTTTCAACACCCATTAGTTGCAGATATACAAAATCTGGGTTAGGGAGAGATGCGACCTAGTGAAAGTAAGTTCCTACGAAATATTAAAATTATCAGCTTACCCTCTCCAGATGAACAAACCCATCAGTTGATTTGGTTTAGCTTTTCAAAGTCATGATACAACTACACAAACAAATTCGCTCTTTCCGGAGCAACTCGAATCCAGGAAATAGTGGAAAACACTAACCTCCTCGAATTGCAACTGTAGCGTTGTAAGGTCACGCATTAGAAATGAATCAAGCGCTATACAACATTGAACTGCGTTCGTGAACCTCATTGGATAATTCGACATCGTTCGTGAATCTCATTGGATAATTCGCTGATTGGTAGTTAGTGGTGTCGAAAGTTTAACTTCGCCGATTTGCTTTCTTTCATATCAGTGTACCAATTATGTCTGTTGAAGATTTGAACCTCGTAGCTCACCTCTAGTTTACATTGATTGGGCATTAGTTAGTAACTAGTGTAATGTGTGTGTGTGTAGTCCTTTATTTGGTGTAGACTGAATTCTATCATCAGTCGAGTTTACAATATAGCCACTATTCTAGGGGATGGCAAGCTACCTACAGTTCTACAGAAGCAGTATCACAGATCTAATTGATTCATGTTTCGCTTTTATGAAATGGAGTTGTGA